AATCACTTAAAATTTCCTTCAATTCCTCAATTACAAAAATCGGGAATCAGTGATACTTGGGTTCAATTTTCAGGTTAGAATTTGTGAGTGCTCTAATAGGATGCTTCTCAAAATTTAATTTTAACTTGGGGCTAATGGTAAAATGCAGATTTGATTCAGTGGGTCTAGGGAGATGCCTAAGATTCTGCATTTCTAACATGCTCCAAGGCTGCTAGTCCCAGGCTTACACTTTTGAGTTGCAAGACTCTACTATATATGATCTCATTAAATTTCCCCATGAATCCTTTAAGAAAGATATCCTTAGCCCTATTTCACTGATAATGGAATGACCTGTATAGGATTAAACTGATAGAAAGTGGCAAAGCAGGGACCCCAATTGAGATCTTTTCACTCCTAGTCTCCAAGATGTTTAATATCCCATTCAGTTCTAAAATATTATATTTAGAAATTACTGCCACACTCATAAAAAGTGAACAAGACCAGGAACAGGACTGGGAAAGGTAAGCTGCTAATGGAGTTCAGAAGAATGCGAGATCACTTTACACAGGGATCAGTCAAGAAGTAATAAAGGAAATTTGACATCAACCTTGAAGGATAGCTAGAACGAAGGTAAGCAAAGATGGAGAATACATATACAGCAGATAGGTTAATATGACATGATCAGAGTATATGGCAGAGCAGAGAAAACTTGTAGAGAAGGGCCCAAGACAACAGAACAGGCCTCACGGACTGAATCAGGTATTTATTACAAGAGCCAAAGACAACTCAAAGGTTGAGCCTTACACACTAGAAGAATAGAGTCAACTAAAATTTTCAGTACAGCATTGGAAGCCCTTTTACCAACTTTCCTCTTCTCCCCAACATAGAGATTCCATTTGTCCCTGTCTACCTTCTTCCCTCCTCGTCCTAGGGAATTAATCCATCATGATGGAAGCATGCCAGTTCCCATACTTGTGCTTACGCCTTCACAATGCCCACCCCTCCTGTCCATGCACCTACATCTTGAGTCCTTACACTACTTCATAAACTTTATCTCCTTCAAGGAAGCTTTTTAGCCTTGGTCCCATTTGACCTGTCAGCTCTTCCCGATTGTATGTTCTAGAGATATTTACTCTCAAGCACTGGGCGACATATCAATAAGTATTACCAGCAAAATCCCTCAGTGTCTGCTTGCTTCTCTTTCCCACCTAATGTTCCTGGAAGAAAGCACTAAGTCATTGCATTTCTTTGCTTTGCTCCCATTACTCACATAATGCATGATGCGTGGTAGGTATGTCCTTGGTGCTATCGATATTACTATCTTGTTTTAAGAAGAAGATAAAGTTTGATAAGAAAAATGACCTCTCTTTTTAATTTGTTTCTCCTAAGTAGATCTCCTGAGAGAAGCCCTAGGGCCCTCGCCCTTTGGCCCCACATGCATCTTCAGAGGCACTCTGTAAAATGCCAGCTATATGCTGTGTGCCCACAGAAACAACAGAGTTAATTTTCTCCTTTTGAAATTGTGACTCCCAGCCTCCTCCCCTTCCTCTAAATGTTTCTTTTAAAGAAAAGCCATGGTTCACTGCTACTGAAAATTAAAGACAACAGCATGAAGATGAAGGTCCAGGCTGGTGCGAGCAATGACAGAACATTAAAATCACCACTTGAATTTCTCTTTCCTTAAACACTGCCAAAGACAGCTAATGGAAAGCCAATCCCCAGAATGCACGCTCATTTCAGACTTTTTTCATGTGCGCCTCTTGGTTCACAAACTGTTTTGACTAAAACGAACAAATCGGAGACGGCCTTCAGTTGAGATGAAATGGGAGAGGTATAACATATCCAAAAAACATTCTACGTGACCACCCCCCACAACGTGAGGTACCAAGAAAAAGCAGGAGGGTTTATTATGCAAAGGTTAACTTATAAGGTTTAGAAGAGGAGGAATTAATCACCTCTCTCTCCCTCAAGCTATACTTTTGGCCTCTCCAGCTGCACCAGGCTTGCTCTTCTACCTCCTCTCAGTGCCAGATTGTGTTTTGCAATCAGATTCACACTTCATGTACCCCAGAGTTCCTTACCATTTGCTGAATCCACATTTTCAAGATTCTTACCCTTTCTTACCCCAGTTGCCATTCACATATTGGCCTGATGGCTTGGGGTGGTTTTCTTGATGCCCAACTACAATGGCAGCTCAGGAAGATAGGCGCTCAAGCTCCTTCCCCATGCAAAGAGGGAAAACTTCAAGGCTGTTTCCAAAGCATGTAAAACATCTCTCATCAGCATCCAACATTGAAGGAGAGACATTTGCCGACAGAAATCTCTGGTTGGCCCAGAAGAGACCGATCGAGTACACACAGTAGACACATCATAACCTGGTGAGTCAGATGTTCTCACAAGACAGGTAAAGAGATACAAAAGATCAAACATGAGAGAGAACGCCAAGTGAGCTCTTTCCCTTTTTTACTTTTTAGTGTGTTGGACCCTAAGACACATGAAATTAAAACTCGTGAAAAACAGCCATATCAACTTGCTTTGGTGACTCAAAAGTTGTCGTTTCTCAACTTAACTTCGCTGAAACACTTGATTCATGTTGTTCTTATTTAACCTAATTTGCATTGATTTAATCAGTGCTGGTATGCTTTAAATACATAATAAATTGGGATTCTGCAACTTAGATGACTTAGAATAGCTAAATTTCAATAAAGCTCATTTCAATCTGTTAATGTATACAGTTCTGCGAAGGGGTTTAAAATCATAGAAAAGATGCAAACTTGCCACATTAGAGGTGGGAAAGGTTTAAAGATGCCATCTAGATGAAATGATTTGCAGGATAATAACGTGAAAAGCAAAACATACATATATATATCTCTCTCTCCTAATTACAGCCTAGACGCATCTTCTACGTTTTGAATAGCATACTTAGAAGAAAATTCACATACAAATGCAATGGATTTAATTTTATTCTCTTTCTTTCTTGCCAACACTCAACTCTTTTCTGCCTCTCTGTACCAGCTCTACAAATCAAGTGACATCCAAAGTGGGACCTCTTCTTGCCCATTTGGCAGGCTCCGTTGCCACTTTGCCAAGCTGCCTGCATTAGGAGGATTTTCTTCCTAGCAGCCACGGGGATTGGGTGGCTTGTACTCACAGTACTTGCTGAATGGTTGGCCAATGTTTACCCCTGCCTGGCCCCTGCCCCCCCCCCCCCCCCTTTAGAGTTTATGGCTCCATCAGCCAGCCTGCTGTCAGGAATAATTGTCTTGGCAAGAGGTGAAAACACTTGATGGTGAAATTGTCTGTCTGTTAAAGTGTTCCGCAGCACCTTGGAGGTGCCAGGACGAAACCTGCAGGTAGCCAGGCCAGAGTTAGGTAGGAGGCAAGAGTGATGAAGAGGCAACCATCAAGAATGGCAAAGGAAGAACACCACTTTGGGGTGGGAGAGCAGAAAACCCATCTGTGCCTGTAATAAGCTGTGAGACCTTGGATAATCGCCTGAGGTCTCTGGGCCTCAGTTTCATCATGTGCAAAATTAAGGGGATTGATTCTCTAATGTCTCTTCTAGCTCCTAAGACAGCATGTGATGTCTACGACATTCCAGATTTGTTTTCCTTCCAATTAAATGATGCATCTCAGACATAAATGACCAGGGTGGAGCACAGATGAATACAAAATGGAGATTCATGCCCCTGTTCATACGACTTTTCCCAAAAAGTACCACCAGTCTTTGGTGACTTTGATTCCACTGGTTGGTATCTTCAGCTTGGATGCTAAGGACCAACCCAGTTACTTGTCTAAAGTTGATACAACCTGGGAACTTCAGTAATCCTTCTCATCGTTATCAAAGTGAGTACCACTACAGATAATGCCCACTTATTTTCAGTTCCTGAGAGGCAGAAATGATGAGAATTCAGAGAGGAGCTGGAGATTCACATTTGACTCTCCCTATGACCTCCCTGGGCATCTTTGTCAAGAACGTAGACTTAACCACACTCTCTTCCAGCAGGGTTTCTCTGCCATCTTTGAGAATTTTTTTTTTTTTTTACGGATGACCAACAGGTCTCTGACAATAGCAATGCAGACCCTCTCCAGATCAGCTGGAACAAGAGAGATGGAGCTCATTGTAAGGACTCCATCTATAAATGACTGTGAGTAGGAATAATCAGGCAAGACTTCTCTTTATACTTAGAAGACAATTTAGTAACAGTCTTAATTAGGGATATGGAGATGGGTAGGCTTCATTATGGTTTAAACTACCTCTTCTCTGCTCATGCTCTAGCATATTCTCCTGGAATGGGGTGTACTGCAGGGGCGGTAATCGCTATGAGCAGCACGTTGGGGTCAGCCTCCTGGTGTCATACAGCAGAATCTTTCTTTAATCCACCAGGGACCCTGTAGACATCTATGGAGACTGGTGAAGCCCCAGCGGGATCTGGGGCAAGACTCCCCGTACACAGACATATGTTTCTGCCACATTGGGTCTCATACCAACGGGACCGGGATGGCTTCCCAAACGCGCTGGGTTTGAAAAGCATTTCCCCATCCACCACCAAAAACGGCTGGCTGACTGCAGAACTCCAGTTCCCGCAAGGAAGAAAAAAAAAAAAAATCAATCTTAGCCAAGCCCCCACAGTCATTGCCTTCCTCTATCTTCTCTCAAGTTGCTTTTCTAAGGCAAAGGACCAAATGTTGATTTCTCTACAGATTCCTACGTATCTTTACACGTAGGCAGCTTTAAAGGGGGAACGGGGAACATCCCCAAAAGGGAAGGGGGAGAGAATAGAGTCTCTCCGTTTCCCACTTGGAAATATCTTGTCTTTGATGATGCTACCCCATACCTCCATCCTCTCTCCCCTTTTTTTTGAAATATGGACAAAAAAGCTAAAAGTGTTTTCCATTTCATCAAAGAACATACATTACTTTAGTGGTTCGGTAAAATGTTGGTTTTATGCCCACCCCTTTTCAATCTGCCCATGTCTGAGGTGCTCCGGGAAGACGCACAATCGTGAGCAGCTTACGACACTCAGTGAGCAGTAGGTGCCTGTGCAAGCTCGCACCGCACACTGCCTGGCGGAGGGAAGGAGCCCGGGCGCCGCTCCCCGCTCCCCGCGCCGCCGCCCGCGCCGCCCGCCTCCCGCCGCCCGCAAAGCATGAGCGAGCCCGCTCTCCGCAGCCGCCCCGGGCGCGAATGGCAGGCGGTCTCCGTGGACTGAAAGGTGGCGCCGGTCTGTGGTCCTTTTCAATGACGGACATTAGCCAGACTGTCAAATCCTGGGGAGTCGCGAGCCCCGAGTTTGGAGTTTTTTTCCCCACAACGTCACAGTCCGAACTGCAGAGGAAAAGGACAGCGGCAGGAAGGCGAAGCCCGGGCGCCGGCACGTAGTTGGGAAACTTGCGGGTCCTAGAAGTCGCCTCCCCGCCTCGCCGGCCGCCCTTGCAGCCCCGAGCCGAGCAGCAAAGTGAGACATTGTGCGCCTGCCAGATCCGCCGGCCGCAGATCGGGGCTGCCTCGGAAACACAGAGGGGTCTTCTCTCGCCCTGCATATAATTAGCCTGCACACAAAGGGAGCAGCTGAATGGAGGTTGTCACTCTCTGGAAAAGGGTGGGTAAGACACTTTTTAATTAAATTCTTTCCCGAAGATTTTTTTTTTTTCCTCCCTTTTCTTTGCTGCAGCATCTAACATGGACCAAATCACCATCTCTTTAATCTTTCCATGGCTGTGAACTTTCTATGCTGCCCAGCTTTCTGCATGCTTAGAGGTGAACGTGTGGCTTTGGGGACGGGGGGGTCCTTCTTTATTTCAATATATTTATTTGATTTTTGCCCTTTTCTCCCCCTCCCCCGCTCCCCCTCCCTCGGAATAAAATATGATGTAGATTTCTGACCGAGCGCTTCCAATGGACATTCTCCAGCCTCTCTGGAAAGATTCTCGCTAATGGATTTCCTGCTGCTCGGTCTCTGTCTATACTGGCTGCTGAGGAGGCCCTCGGGGGTGGTCTTGTGTCTGCTGGGGGCCTGCTTTCAGATGCTGCCCGCCGCCCCCAGCGGGTGCCCGCAGCTGTGCCGGTGCGAGGGGCGGCTGCTGTACTGCGAGGCGCTCAACCTCACCGAGGCGCCCCACAACCTGTCCGGCCTGCTGGGCTTGTCCCTGCGCTACAACAGCCTCTCGGAGCTGCGCGCCGGCCAGTTCACGGGGTTAATGCAGCTCACGTGGCTCTATCTGGATCACAATCACATCTGCTCCGTGCAGGGGGACGCCTTTCAGAAACTGCGCCGAGTTAAGGAACTCACACTGAGTTCCAACGAGATCACCCAACTGGCCAACACCACCTTCCGGCCCATGCCCAACCTGCGCAGCGTGGACCTCTCTTATAACAAGCTGCAGGCGCTCGCGCCCGACCTCTTCCATGGGCTGCGGAAGCTCACCACGCTGCACATGCGGGCCAACGCCATCCAGTTCGTGCCCGTGCGCATCTTCCAGGACTGCCGCAGCCTCAAGTTTCTTGACATCGGATACAATCAGCTCAAGAGTCTGGCGCGCAACTCTTTCGCCGGCTTGTTCAAGCTCACTGAGCTGCATTTGGAGCACAACGACTTGGTCAAGGTGAACTTCGCCCACTTCCCGCGCCTCATCTCCCTGAACTCGCTCTGCCTGAGGAGGAACAAGGTGGCCATTGTGGTCAGCTCGCTGGACTGGGTTTGGAACCTGGAGAAAATGGACCTGTCGGGCAACGAGATCGAGTACATGGAGCCCCATGTGTTCGAGACCGTGCCGCACCTGCAGTCCCTGCAGCTGGACTCCAACCGCCTCACCTACATCGAGCCCCGGATTCTCAACTCTTGGAAGTCTCTGACGAGCATCACCCTGGCCGGGAACCTATGGGACTGCGGGCGCAACGTGTGCGCCCTGGCCTCGTGGCTCAGCAACTTCCAGGGGCGCTACGATGGCAACTTGCAGTGCGCCAGCCCCGAGTACGCGCAGGGCGAGGACGTCCTGGACGCCGTGTACGCCTTCCACCTGTGCGAGGATGGAGCCGAACCCACCAGCGGCCACCTGCTGTCGGCCGTCACCAACCGCAGTGATCTGGAGCCCCCGGCCAGCCAGGCTACCACGCTCGCTGATGGCAGGGAGGGGGAGCTCGACGGCACGCCCGAGGCGGCTACTGTGGCTCTCCCCGGCGGCGAGCACGCCGAGAACGCTGTGCAGATCCACAAGGTGGTCACAGGCACCATGGCCCTCATCTTCTCCTTCCTCATCGTGGTCCTGGTGCTCTATGTCTCCTGGAAGTGTTTCCCAGCCAGCCTCAGGCAGCTCAGACAGTGCTTTGTCACGCAGCGCAGGAAGCAAAAACAGAAACAGACCATGCATCAGATGGCTGCCATGTCTGCCCAGGAATACTATGTTGATTACAAACCGAACCACATTGAGGGAGCCCTGGTGATCATCAACGAGTATGGCTCGTGTACCTGCCACCAGCAGCCCGCAAGGGAATGCGAGGTGTGATTGTCCCAGTGGCTCTCAACCCGTCCGCTACCAAATATGCCTGGGCAGCCGGGGCGGGCCGGCGAGTGCCAGGCTGGAGTCTCCCTGTCTGTGCTCTGATATGCTCCTTGACTGAAACTGTAAGGGGATCTCCCCCAGAGACTTGACATTTTAGCTTTACTGTGTCTTAAAAACAAAAACGAAATAAAACACAACAAAACCCCCACTCCACAACCTTCAGGACAGTCTATCTTAAATTTCATATGAGATCTCCTTCCTTCCTTTGAAGATCTGTCCATATTCAGGAATCTGAGAGTGTAAAAAGGTACCAATCATTGATTTTTTTTTTTTGTAAACTAAAATGTTTAAAATAAAATAGCATTTACAGTTTTTACAGACTGGTGTAACCTAAATGAATTGTTACCTGTGTTAAAAGAGAAGCAACAGTTAAAATTTCCTTCCCTCTGTGTGTGTATGTGTGTGGTGGGGGGAAAGGGGGTGTCCAGTGGCCAGAGGGAAAATCCAGAAATTCAGGAGCAAAGTAGTCAGACTCAATTTGAAATATTAAGAAGGATAGACAAAGCTTATCAGGTTGATTTACCCCACATGAGTAAGGACTGAAAAAAAGCAACACCCTTTGTATTATTTTTAGGGGAGTGCTGTGCATTCTAACCACTTTAAAGCCAGTGAAAGGTAGACTAAGGACTGAGCATCATTGCTCAGCCTTTAAGGCAGAGAGCATTGCAAATGGCTTTTAAAAGGCAGTGCCAGACAGTTTGTCCTACTAACAAGAAACATTTCTGCACTTAACGTAACCATCTTTCAAATCAACTCAAAATCTCACCTCCCAATGCCACTGGTTCATAATTCTCCTGAGCCTTTGATTCGTCAGACTTTGTAGCATTTGCACCCTTTTCCATACTCTCCCAAGTGAAAGAGAGACCCTCAGCTCCTGTCTTCTATGGTCTGATTGAGGGGAACAGGTGGCATCCCAATGTTCAGTGATGAAAGCTGGGCCTCTGGAGCACATTGCTGAGACTGCAGCAGGCTCAGGCTCTCAGCAGCGACAGCACACTCCTAGTTACTATGGGGAATGGTGAGAAAATTCTACCTCAGGATGAACGCCTACTGGGTAATGACTTGTAGCAGGAGACTTTAGGGGCAGATATGATACAGAAGCAGTGGGAGTGGGGTGCGGTGGGGGAAGATCATCATTTGATCCTGTGTTCGAATATTACTGAGATGGGAATAATTTGTTAACCCAGGACAGAAAAGCTGCCTCTTCTCAGATTGCCCTTTGGTGTAATGCTTGCTTTCTCTGTGTTGTTTAACTTTTTTTCATGTCGGGATCAGTGATTACCTCTTCCCACCCTTCATAGGTTTCCAGGTCTATCACTGAGATTTAGGTTGTTTATTGAACTAAATTAAGGAGTAGTAGCAGTTGGTGTGCGTGGGAAGGGAAAGGGGGAGGAGTATGTGTGTTGGATGGGAGGGGTCTTTCACTAGCTAACGATTTAAGCAAATGCATGATTGAAATAAACCGTCTTGGATGGCAGATGGTGAACGCTGAACTAATGTCCATGTCCGGAAGTCTTTCTCAAACTCAGGTGCTCCCCCCTCTGAATGATCCCACAGACTGGCATCTTTCTTTTTTCTTTTTCTTTTTTAAGAGAGAAGTCCAAAAAGCTGGAAGAGGGATGGGGAAAAACACACACAACCATGTCCCCAAATGCAAATGATTCCAGCCACCTATCTAAAGAAGGCAAAATCAGCTGTTTGAAATGCAGAATGGCATCACCAGGAGGTTTACTTAAGCTGAGGATTGGTAGTATGTTTCTCTTCTACCTATGGAGAAACCAATATGCCTAAAAATACTGCTTCTAAGAGGCTCTTTCAAGAGAAATATTTTACAAATGTCTCTAAGATGTTAAGCTTTGGGAGAAAGCTTCTTTCACACACACACACACACACACACACACACACACACACACACACCAGCTCATTCTTCCTGACCAGAAAACTTCATCTTGTTTTGTTTATAGTTAAAACATGACATTATGACACACACCATGCACAAAACACCCCTTTAGATTGTTAATGTTCTAGAAGAGAGATGCTTTGTTTGATAACTTTGAGGATGGAGTTTTAGATATAGTCTAAGCATGATCATTTGGGGCTGCTGTTTTAAATAGCATGTCACTTAGAGGGCAGAGGTTGCAGGAGCATCTATAATTAAACCCCACTAAAGAGACCTTCTCTAGTAGACAATGTACCTTTTTTGGAAAAAAAATCTCAATTGTGGCAATTGAAGGAAAGCTCCTTGGATTGCATTAATTTAATCTCCTTATAGGAAGGCTACTGGAATCCAGTGCCAAAAGCTGCTCTGGCTTGGTGCATTAAGGGCTGTGTTGGTGTGCTTATAGGGAAAGCTTCCAGAAGCAAAGCCTTTCTGGCAAACATCAGAACCAGAGGTCCCTCCTACCCCCAAGAAATATAGATATTGGAAACTGTAGAGTTTATCTCTCATCCCGAAGACTCTTTTTCTTTCATTTTGCTTTCAATGTGGCCATGAGAAAAAGCAAGAGAATAATCGTGCTTTGTTTTATGCTGCGGCCCCCCTCACCCCCCCCATGACTAAACACCACATATGTAGAAGATCTTAAGTCCATGTAAATCTAATGCAAGATCATTGTAAGAGGAATCTGCAAACTGGAGACCTGGAGAGTAAATGATAGCTATAGAAAGCTGTGTTCTTACTTTGTGTGTGTGTGTGTCTGTATGTCTCTGCGTTGTGTGTCTTTGTAGGCAAGCAAATATGTTTTCTACACAAACAGAGGAATTTAGCTCACATCATCTCATGCTCATGCGCCTCTTGCTTTGGAGAATGGCGGGGGGAGGGAGAAGGCAAGAATAAGGGAAATCCGTAGTTTTAACTAAGGTTTTGTGACACTTGAAATCTTTTCTTTCGCAGATTAATTAATCTTTAAGCTTTAAGAAACTTGCTCTGACCCCTCTAAGCAAACTACTGAGCATTTAAAAGAGAATCTAATTTTTAAAGGTGTAGCACCTTTTTTTGTTCTTCCCACAGAGGGTGCTAATCTCATTATCCTGTGCTATCTGAAAATAATTTAAGGCCACCATTCATGTCTCTCCCTGGGCATTGTGATAGATTAACCCTTCATTGGCAGTATCTTCCCAGATGATTCAACTTCAGCCATGGTATAGAGGTTTTTTGAATATTTATACAGAAAAAAAGTCTTTTCAAATAACAGATGACATTCTCACACCAGTCTTAGCCCCTGTAGTTTTTTAAATTGTGAAAGAGGGAGCAGGTTAAATGAAACCTATCCTTTGGCCTTCACTCAGAGAAAAGGCAGTCCCTGATGCTCAGACTTAGCTGTGATGGTTGAGACCACCGGTCCTACAACGCACCCCAGGCTCCCAACACTGAAAAGTTGCCATCACATCCTTTTATTCCAGTAAAAAGAAACTTTTTTCCATCTGTTTTTTTATAATCTCCCAAGCTCCTCAAAGTATAAGAGTGCCATACCTTTCCCCCCTACCTTCAGGAAGACAGACATTTGGGATGTCTTAACATCAACAACACATTTATGAGTATGTGTAAGTAATTAGAGGGCAAACACCACTTGTCACTCCTCTCAAGTTTCCTAAGCAACTGCATACAGATCACTGGAGGGTTTAGAGGCCGCCTGTGCTCCTGGGTTATATTAATCGATATGTCAGCAAGTTTGGCACCTATTCTATCTGGCATAGCCACGTGGAGAGGGGCACTGGTGGATCACAGATCCTGGTAAAATGAAAGGCATCAGATGCCCCTCTCACAGAGAACATTATCGAAAGACCAGAATTTATATCTGTTGTGGAGAATGGGTATTATAATGTTTCAGGGTAGTCAAAATAAGCATCAATTATCTCCTCTAGATGTGTGGGTATCTTGGTTGATTTGAGTTCACCATTAATAGAATGTCATACAACAAGGAGTTAGCTGGAATATGACTATGAAACAGTCTCTTGAAATATATTTTGAGAGAAGTTTAGGGATACACACACACACACACACACACACATACATATACTGCCATATATATATATATCACATTATGCCATACATATCACATTACATAACTGCCTTCTAGCATTTATTACCCTCCTACATTCTTCTTCTATGATCAAACCTTTACCCAGGAAAGGACCTGATAAAACCAGTCACGATTAAGGTGTAAAGGACTGAGGAGGCTGATCATATTTTCCGGCACTAGTTAATGAGTTGGTCGATGCTCTGCAGGCTGGGGATCTTCTGGGCTCCTCATGCCACAGGAGAGTGTACTCCTGCTACCTAGTGGTAAGAGCCAGCAAATGGCAGTGCCTTCTTCTGAGAGTATGCTCCTAACTAATGAATTCCACCTCAGGGTTAGGAAACATATTTCTCTATTAAAAAAATGCTCTCCTCTGAATTTTTTCCAGGGATCCAGGAGGCAAAATTCCTTACTCCTGACTGGGCACCATCTTCTGGCCTTCCTCAATTGGACACAGTTTCTGAAGGTCTTTGGTTTTTTCTCAAAGGGAAGGGCCTGGCTATTACATCCTTCATATTTAGTTGGAGATGTAAATGAGATGGCAGAAATAAAATTTATTGAATATTTTCTTGATATGAGAGCTTTTACCTAGATTTCAATATGTGAGAGAAGTACTAGGAACCTTATCTTTACATGAGGAATCTGAGGCTTAGAGAGGTTAAATATTTTGTGCAAAGTCACCCAGCTAGTAATTGGGAGCACTGGTATTCGGTTTGGTGGCCTTTTCACTAAACCCTGTTTCATCTTTCCTTGAACGGTATCCCTGCCCCCACCATTCCTCCACCCAGCAAAGAGCCTGGGACTAGCCTGGCCACGGGGTATATGCTCCCCGTATTCTTGTTGGATGACATGGGTGTAACGTTCAAATCCAGGAATTTTCACCACGACTTTGTTTGTTCTGGCCTCTGGTAACTGGGTAATGCAGGACTCTGCCAACAGAGGAGACCTCTCACAGGCTTCCAGGAGCAGAAATGTCCAGTTAATCATCAGTCCAACATCTAACCAGAGGATTTTGGACTAAGGGAGTAAGGTTTGAGCATCCATATATTACTGTCGGGGATTTATTCACATTTCTTTCTTGGTCATAAATGGACTATGTCTCGATGGCAGTGGTTCTCAGCCAGGGGCAAATGGCCACCCAATCAACAATTGGTAATGTCTGGAAACATTTTTGATTTTCATGCATGGGGTGAGGGATGCTATTGGCATCTAGTGGGTAAAGGTCATGGATCCTGCTAAACATCCAACAACGCACAGGAAAGCCCCCTCACAAGGAATTATTTGTCCCAAAATGCCA